TGAATATTTAAACGATCCTAGTGCTTGGATATGAGTTGCTCCAGTATATATTATAGGTAACACGACTGAATCTCTCGGCTGCATTTCCAGACTCTGGGGCGATCGTCAACATCCACGACTGTTTTAATGTAAAGTGGGAACAAACCGTGATCCATGTAGTATCCAATTATTTCAGTATTATTATTATTTTCTTATGTAGCCAAGTCCAAATTTCAAGGATCGTCATGCTCGCTTAAATGTCATTGCTTGTGGCGGCGTCCATGCGTCGGGTTGTCTCTCTCCCTAAAATATGGCGAGGGGGCCGATGGCTGGCCATGCGTCATACTCGTGAACGGGTGCTACTTGTGGTGACTGGTCGTACTTGAATTCGTGTATGCGGCGATGTTAATTATTTCGACTATGTGTTTGCGTGTTGTTCCCACGAGAATGTAAGTGCGTGCTCCTATTTCACCATGCCTCCTGCTGATACGGGACAAGTCTTTGTTTTTATTTATGTTATTATTATTAATTACTTAAAATGTCATGTGGAACATGGTGTAATGGTTGCAGCTCCTTACAAACGTTGTAAAAAAAAAAACATGGCGATTAAAAAGAGTGGCGGAGAGTTTATTGCCAGTTCTTCTCTTCCGTTCTACGCCCTTGATTTGAGAACTGGCAGTAAATGTAAAATTAGAAGCATTAATATTTATTTCTTTAATGACGAATCACAAGTGTACATTGTGTTACCTACGTGAATAAATGATTTTTGAATTGAATTGAATTGAATATGCTACACCCGTATGACAAGATTGTCATTCATAGTCTGATTTCGCGCTAAAAATCTTATCCATCTAGCTTTATCGAGCTAGACTATACTTATAAAGAAATATTTGATATTCTTCTCGCTTCGTTATCGTTCTTTCACAATTAGAAATATATTATTATGTAGATCAAATAAATATCATACAACCATAACATATAATAGGTTAATAATAACATGAAGATTATTTACACTATAAATAAAAAGTATTTAGTCTGTGAGGGCTCTTGTTGAATAAAAATTAACAAATTTAATTGACAAGCCACACGTTTCCCCGCTTTGGATTAATGATAATTCGTTGAATTTAATAAAAAGCGCGGGAAGCGCGTTACTAAATTTGACAATATGCAGGACGTTGTATATGACTTGACAGATTTTACAATTTTATTTTTAAAAGATTATTAACTGTCTTACTTGTATTCTATAAAGAATTTGGTTGATGGATCACAAAAAATATAAACTATATATTTATATTTATCGAAAAAAAAAAACTATAACGGATACCCATCCATATTCTCCGTACGACAAGTATTACTTAACTTCGGTAATCGTTTGATTGAATTCTGAAAAACATTTCCAACTCACCATTTCTCAAAGTTTTGATTGATTATGAGTGATCATAAAACTTCGAAAATAACTAGCTGGTGCCCGCGACTTCGTCTACGCAGGATTAGTATTTCGAGTAGCTTATATTAGCGTGGCGTAGAAAAGTACTAACATTTTGACATTAGTGTCTTTGCACGACACTTTTTGGTCCGGTTTGGGCTGTTTTGTAACTGGGTTTGTCTGAGAAATATCAAAACTGAACCTCTCTTGTCCTTTCCAAAAAAAAATCGGTTGTCTGTAAAGTCGGTTTACTGACGATAGTTGAACGTGACAACATCATAATAAATTACTGGAATGGTTGCATTTTTTAAAAGAAAATTTTAATTTTTAGTTGTTTGATAGATATTTTGTATGGATATAAAGAAGGAGGTGAATGGAAATCACAATTGAATTGATTGATATCGTATTATATCGATTACAATATAATCGATATAATACGATATATACTTTATATACAATAAAGATGTCGAACGCTGCCGAACGCGGAGGCCGATTGTGCCTCTTTGTCGCTCATTCCGCGCTCTCGCTTGCACTTCAAGCCTTAAATGGAACGCCTCAGAGCGAGGTAACGCCGCATGCGTCATGTTTTTTCGTGCGTGCAGCCGGCTCTAACGAAATATAAGACGTTGTCGCGTTCGCCAGCGTTCGTTCGTTACAAAATTGAGATAATTGTATTTATGCGTAAAAATAAATGAAACTTGATCAATTGTGATTTCCATTTACCTCCTTATCTATATATACAAATATCTATCAAACAAATAAAATAAAAAAATCTTTTCAAAAATGCAACCGTTCCATCAGTAATTTAATTTAACTTGACAATTCATAAGTGTAATTGTTTACCTACATGAATAAAGACATTTTGAGTTTGAGTTGGAGTATTTTCTTATGATGTTGTCACGTTCAATTATCGTCAGTAAACCGACTTTACAGACAATCGATATTTTTAACAAATCGCTAGTGCCTTGACAATTCGCATAACGGACACAACCGTTAATTACGTCTGCCCTCACGCGTCTGGCCAGTGGCCAGTGTCCACGTTCGGGTCGCGCAGTCAGCAGTGCGCACTCAGCTATGAGCGACTTCTTCCCCCCCTCACCCACCGTGCGACTGGCGATTCATAAAGATATTGCGAATTGTCCATAATTGTAGCCTATGTGTTATTCTGATGTATAAGCTATATTATTGTAAAGTTTTATTAAAATCCATTCAGTAGTTTTTACGTGAAAGAGTAACAAACATCCATCCTTAAAAACATTCCCATTTATAATAATAATAGGATTTTCTCAACGCTTTACTCTTGGCTTCTATGTTTCCTTAATAGTAGAAACATTTTCCTTAATTATTACAAATTATTTAAACGTGTTAAGTGTTTTTCTCACTTATTTACAGTCCAGTCTCAATAGGTAGACCAGACCGCTTTAGACTATCGCGTGATCGACCCCATTGTTAAAATGGGTCAGACCCTAATACCAAAATACCACGCGTTCGAGCTTATAAAATTATTTTAAATTGCCAATAAATTAGTTTTTTAATTAACCAGTGTTATACCATAATTAAGTACAGCCTGAGGACTGTAAAATGAGTGTTTAAATTTATATGAAATAAATTTCAGGAGTATTGTATGTATATCTGTATAGTATATATTATAGACTTTCTTTCTATGTGCGCACATAACATACCGGCTTGCCTTACGCCTTTAGTACACCTACGCGTTCGTATGCGGCTGCGAGTCTTTGCGAAATAATTGCGGTAGCGAAATATCTGCGGAACGTTAGTACACTGCAGTTTTTTCGCAAGGAAATGTCATTGTAGCTTTATTTCTTACCATCTATCCCCGTCTTTCTTGAATTTTCCTCCATGCCACCTCTTTTTTGTATGCATTTTTGTAATTAACATGCCCAACTAAATATAATTCGGGATAATTTCGAATCAAATTTAATAATAATTCAATATTTTCGGCTTCCATTGTGCGAAATTCTGTCCTCACTGACAGAACGCGTGGTGACGCATTGCGATGCGAAACTCCGCTAGCGAAACGGCTGCGTCTGTGTAACAGCCATTTCGCAGTTACTTGCGAAACAATACCGACAAGGACGCAACTATTTCATCTAGCTATATAATAGAGCGAGACAAAACACATGCGAAACATTGCCATACAACTTACAGTTTTTTCGTCGTTTCGCTGCCGCATGCGATTGCGTAGGTGTACTAAAGGCGTTAGATCCTAAAAGTCGAGGACGTGCGTCAGACACAGAAGGCTGATCACCTACTTGCCTATTAGATTACCAAATAATCATGAAAAAGATACAGAAATCTGAAGCCCAGACCTAAAAGAAAGGTTGTAGCCCAATTGATTTATTTTTTATCCGTATAGTATAATATGTATATGTAGCAATAAGCTACACTAGATAACTAAATATATGAGAGGGTGAGGCCTAAGAATCTAACAAACCTACGGATAGGTAGCAAATATATCAATGAGTACGGGATGTCTGCATTAAGAGACCTAAGGTATAGAGTCCTGATAGGATCAGAGGTTCAAGGTAGTGGGATGATTACGAAGGGCTTGAAGGAGGCTTCGCTACTTTTAGAGGAAGCGAGGAATTGATGAGACGGGGCAATCAAATCTCTTTTACTGTTTTAAAACATTTTAAATACTACTTACACATATTCACACATAATATTACTCTCGTGAGCTGTTGTCACCTTCAGCTGTTACCACAGCCACGTAAGCCGTGTCAGTTGATCAATATTCAAGTGAAATCTAAGCAAGCGTTATTTATCGTAACACTAATTATTTCACTACCAACATGTTTCTCATTCACTCACCCATTTTTATTTGGATAATGCGAGCAGTGTTGGTCAAGTGTCTTCACCGTACAAATCTCATCCCTGAAGTCGTAGTACCCCGGCTGTGCACCAATTGACTTCCTTTCTATGTATGTATTTAAAGGCTCGAACGGTGAAGGAAAACATTGCGAGAAAGCCGGCTTGCCTTAGACCCAAAAAGTTAGCGTGTGTAAAGCACAGGAGGCTGATCACCTACTTGCCTATTAGATTGACAAATCATGAAACAGATACAGAAATCTGCAGCCCAGACCTAAAAAAAGTTGGAGCGCCACTGATTGTGTTTATAATCTATGCGCTACAGCAGTCTATGACGCTAATATGTCTTGTCTATGATGTTGGGAAAATGTCAGAATAAATGTCAAGTTGTCTTTTGTTTCGTGTTACTCTCAAAACATTTTTTTTTATATCTCATTAATTAATGCACTATCTTGGACTGTTGCTGTTTCTGTGAACATATATCACATACAAGTAAAATTAACAAGAGTTTTTCTCAAAAAAAAATCAAAATGGCGTGTAGCGTTTTATTAAATACAAAGTCATCACAATATAATAACCTAAAATGATGACTTGCTTAACTTATATTAAATATTTTCATAGCTCATTAATCATTCGAGACAAAAAACATTTTTTGTCCTGCTCACTCTAATTATGGATGACAAGAGTGTGGCTTACCCTGATTTCGTGCGTTCAAACTTCGTTATGTAGACCAAAGTGTAGAGAAAAATAACTTGCTGCACCACTCCTAAGGATCCTGCCATTGTGTGGAAGGAACGGGCTGCATTTCCTCCGTCTTAAAAAGAACAACTTCAACCAGCTTAATGGTATTGCTCGGTTGGCCTTGACAGCCCAGCTCAGGCTGTTTTGGCGTGCGTAGCTCTGATAATGGGATTGTTCCCATGGGCGTCTCCTGTGAGACTCGGACCTCTGCTGCGCGGTCGTGAGTGTGATACTCGCCTAAAGGGCGGGACGGAAGCTCACTGGAGTGCACGAAGTAAATATAGCACCCCGCCTTCCCCGATGAGGGACTGACCTGAACCTCGATGTTGTATATGTACTTTATACATGAAACATATACTTTTCTGTATATGTTTCATGATTTGTGATCAGCCTCCTCACACGCCAACTTGGGTCTAAGGCAAGCCGGTTTCCTCACGATGTTTTCCTTCTCCGTTAAATTCGCCTAAAAATAAAAATGAGTGAGTGAATAAGAAACGTTATGGTAGTGAAATAAAATATAGTGTTAGTGTTACCATAAATAACGCTTGTTTAGATTTCACTTGAACATTGATCTACTGCTGACATTGCTCACGTGGCTGTTCCAATAACAGCTGAAGGTGACAACAGCTCACGAGACTAATATAATGTGTGAATATATGTAAGTAGTATTTAAGATGTATTAAATAATAAATCAGATTTGATTGCTCCGTCTTATTCATTTCTCGCTTCCTCTCAGAGGCGACATGTCAACTGTCATTTTATAAAACCCTGACATATTCAAAATGGCCGCTGCGTGATATTAAGAAATTGCAAGGGAATGTTGAATACTATATATTTTCCAAGTAAAATATGTTTTAAAAGGTAAAATGTAGTAAAATATGTTTTAAAAGTAAAATATACAATATTAATAAGAGTTTTTTTTTTATAGAACAGGGGGCAAACGGGCAGCAGGCTAGCCTGATGTTAAGCGTTAAGAATCGGTACGCCCTTGGAATGACTCTACGTCGAATTAGTTCGGAAATACCTACCGCCCATGGACACTCAATGCCAGAGGGCTTGCGAGTGCGTTGCCGGCCTTTACGATGATACGGGTGTAATGGCGTATTCTCCCTCAACAATGATGAATATCACCTGCAAGTATTAATCCAAAGAAAATGTGATAAATATGGAAGGGTTTTTAGGTTTTAACAGTGTTTAAATCATGCATCATTTGTTTTCAAAAAGCTAATTCATGACAGCTTCTGCCCGAACACACACTTCGAGTAGCTTATTTTTTCCTAGGTCTCATTACAACTCATCATCAAAAGACATTACCCTAGCTTAAGCTAATATGTAAATACAAAACTTCAGCGCCGAATTTAACAATTTTATAGGCTTTTGTTGGCCGTCAGACTTGTGAAGCTTGTCTTGACTTGTGTCAGATGCAGCAACTCTACTGCAGTCGTATCGTAACGAAGCTACGATTTCTACCAACACGCTTTACTCTGGATCTTACCCATTATCATTAATTGAGTAGTATTAAGTTAGTACCTACTTCAATTAATTACCTGGTAATGGTCATGGCGCAAGACATGTCCCAGGCACGATTAGAAAGAGAGGCAGGCCACTACTGGAAAGAGATGAATATGACAAAAAGAAAAGGAAAAGATAAGGAGGAGGCTCCTGGCTAGTTAAGCCAGCCTAGCTCCATCCAGAAGCTCAGAAGTTGGGCAAATTGCAGGCTTCACGTAGCGAGGATTTCTGCTGGAACTGTGGCTTCCACGCATTTCAGGACCAAGTGGATGACTGATTTCTCTTCACTGAAACTGCCTCTGCATAGTCGTCTCACTGTCTTTTTAATAAAGAGACAGTCAGTGGCCCGTAATTGTCCCTATCGTTGTTCTGAGAATAATTATTTTAAGGCTTAAAAGTCGCTTTGTCAGTAGCGGGTTTACTGCTGGCAGTGCCTTGAATTGCTAGAAGAGCAAGAGAAGAAGCGGATACGGGCCATCCAGCAAAAATCCGGAACCTCCTGGCAAGCTCGTCGGCGGCATCATTGCCGAGAGACCCGCTGTGTCCTTTTATCCACTCTAGGGTAACCCAGTTTATCAGTGTTATTGCCTCCTGTGCGTGGTGACACTCCAGTATCACCAGTTTGTTGTTCGTCTAATAGAACACTAAACTAATACTTATGTTAAGAAATCGAAACTATATATATTTTTTTTAATAATAATTTTATGGCCTGGTAACGAGACCTTTAAGCCAAAAAACGATATTATTGTATGGATTAATTAACAATAATAATAAGGGCTTCGATAGAAGTAAGTATTCAAAAATAAAAGTTTCTCCTGTTGTTCAGAATATGAACCCCACTTATGCTATATGTTTGTAGGGTTGGCACACAAGTAATATACAATAAATTTAAATGTTGAATTTGGCAGGGAAGAATGAAAGTAGAAATGCTGAAAAGATCGATAACCATATGTGGTGTATGATGATAGTATAAGTAATAATACGCGTGGGTAAAAAGACAAGAATATGAAAAGGTATGAGAAGCAGTCAACAAGTAGGATGTACAAGGCAAAAATGGTGAAGTCGTTCAAATCCAGAAGGCACTAGAGAAGGGAGCCAAAAGTACCTAAAAGCAAGGTGAATGTCATGAAAGTGGAAAGTGAGATAGTGGACCGTAGCAAGTGGAAAATATTAATAAATAAATAATTGTAGCAAATCCAGGAGGTAGTAGTTAACATGTTACTACATGTCTTTTTTAACATGTTAAATTAAAAATTTACTTTATTTATTATTTGAAACCTAGTCTTTGCGATCAAGGCTTCAAATAAAAAAAATAAGAAATTCTAATCTAGTACTGCACAGATTACATTCAATAGTTCATTCTGTCATTGCATAGAACATTATTAGCTCCTGTCAGTAGTAGGTTTATTAGTATTTCGAAATGTTATAAATTTAATTGATTAAATTAATTAATTTATTCATATAAGTAATGACAAAACAATATTCTTATTGCATTTATTACCTGACATAAACTCTCCCGGAAGTCTCTGTATAAAGGAGATTAACTGAAAAACTACCAAACGAATTTTTATATAGTTTTCATTAATAGATGGATAGATAAATTAGAAAGATTTTAGTGTATAATTATTTATGGATTAATGTAAATTGACTAATAAATAACGATTCTAGTTTGAGTATTTGTCTTGTTGTAAAATGGCTCTCAGTCGCATCTATATGAACGCGATTCGTTCAAAAACTACTGAACGCATTTTTATATAGTTGTCACCAGTAGATAGCGTGATGTATAAGGAAGGTTTAAAATTTATAATTAATTATGGTTTTATATAACTTAACAAAAATATAACGATTATAATTCAGGTAAAATATTGTGCGGCCCTAACTCAGTGACCGCGCCATGTTCTCGTTTATTTTTATTTGCACGAATATTATATTTTTTTAAAACGTTTTCACATTCTCAAGTTCGTTGTTAGTAGAAGTTTACATGGCTTTGTTATTTAGTCGTACTCAAATATTTCACTAATAAGCATTGTTTAGTTAAATATATCTATATAAGATACAGTAACGAGACTCCTGTATATTAAAATCCATGTATATGTATATATTCATTCACTTATGTTCATATTCTCCGCAAGCGCTACAACCTTTTAGGTCTGGCCCTGTTATCTATTTCATGGGGCAAGTATGTGATCAGCCTTTGCCTGATTGGGCCTATAGTCCATTGAAAAGTTACATTTGGGGTTGCGTTTTTTAGAGGACGCAATTTTATTTATGGAACATGTAGGGGGGGTCAATACAAGCTTAACTCCAAGTTTGTGGGGTTGGCGTGCTTGTCCCCCGGCCGCCATCTTGGATAAAGGGGTCCAAAAACTACGTTTTTGGCTATATCTCCTAAACTATCCATCGTACATAAAACTTGTAAAGACACATTTTGTAGCAAATCGCTGTGTCTACGATTATGTCTATTTAACTTTTTATCATAAATCCAAAATTTAAAAAGTTATAAATAAAAAAGTGATAGCTAGCTACCATTCTAATAACTGATTGATAATATAATTATTTCGAAGATTACCATATCAGCAAGTTGTCTGTGGAATAGGCCTACTAGGAATACCAATAAGTAAAATTGTAGGAATAAAAAAAAATATTTGGAAAATTTGTTTAAAATAAACGAGAGATCTTAAAAGTAAGGTAAAACTGCTGTTTTGATCGGCTTGTCATGAGCATTGACGCACCTAGTCAACTTTAGAAATAGGAAATATTTTCACTTTTTTACTTATAACTTTTTGAATTTTGGATTTATGATAAAAAGTTACACAGACATAATTGTAGGCACAGCGATTTGCTACAAAATGTGTCTTTACAAGTTTTATGTACGATGGATAGTTTAGGAGATATAGCCAAAAACGTGGTTTTTGGACCCCTTTTTCCAAGATGGCGGCCGTGGGACAAGGGTGGCGACCCCACAAACTTGTTTTTAGCTTTACACTGACCCCCTCTACACATCAAAAAAATAAAATTGCGTCCTCTAAAAAACGCAAGGTAAGGCCTAAAAAATGTAACATTTCAATGGACTACTAATGTATTACGATTTCGTTCGTACAAGCAAGTGTTACGTGCAGAATCGTTCGGTGCACGGGCATCGAACCTAGGCCCTCAAATTAACTAGTTAATTACTTTTTATATTTTAAGCAAATTTTTTCGTCTATTATAAAACGGTCATGATTTTATGAACGCAATGATTCAAAAACTACTAAACTGATTTTTATATACATAGTTCATTAATAGATAAATAAAGATGAGAAAGGTGTATAATTATATGGTTTTAGATAATTTGACTTAAATCTAACGACTATTGTTGAAGACGCATCCTCTTATAAAATAGACCACGGTCGCGTCTATATGAACGATATTAACTCAAAAACTACCGAACGGATTTTTATATAGTTTTTCATGATAGATAGATGGATTATTAAGAAAGGGTTTGTTATACAATTGAATATAGTTTTGTTTGAATTGACTGAAAAATAACGATTCTTGTTTAATTCGTATTTTGCATAAGGGCGAATGAAGCTTAGAGACTTTTAATTTAAGACATTTAGCATAAGAATTAAGAAAATAAAAATATTTTTTTAAATAATCGTTTTATGTTCCGTTTGTCCGATTTTAGACGCAGAAACCTGTTTCTAGTTGGGCCGTGACCTTTAGTGATGCGTGGTTTGTGCTTGTCGATAAGATTTATCGATCAATATGAATTTATCGATCAAAATTTGGTTTGTGCTTGTCGATAAAATTTATCGATCAATATGAATTTATCGATCAAAGTTGCGTATGGTGAAATTAACTTTCTAATAATAATAAACCCATTTTAATTTCCCATATCCTTCATTTACATTTAGAATTAAGTTGGTAGTTATAGCCAAATTTTAGTAAAAATAAAATAAATCAGTTGCCCTACCTTTTTAGGTCAGGGCCTCAGATTTTTTAAAGATATGTGTCATGATTATTTGTCAACCTAATAGGCAAGTAGGTGATGAGCCTCCTGTGTCTGATGTACGTCGACTTTTTGGGTCTAAGGCAAGCCGGTTTCCTGACGATGTTTTCCTCCACACATAGACAGACAGACTATTGGTGCACAGCCAAGGTCTCAGGGATGAGAGTCACACGCTAAAGCCACTAGGCCAACACTGCTCAATGTTAGTAGTAATTTATTAGTCACCTGTAGATATAGACTTCTCTTTTGTAAAGGTCTCCTCCAACCCTTTCGTGACATCTCTGTCTTTGACAATAGTCTCATCTTTACCTCTTATTTATATCAAGGCATCGGCCCACCTTTTTTTGGCCTGCCCACTCTTCGTTTCCATTCCATTGTGTCTTTAATGTCCATCTATTGTCTTGATTTCGTGTTACATTCACCACCCACCCCCCTTGGACACATTAAATGGCAGAAGGCTCGCGAGTGCGTTGCCAGCCTTCAAAGAATCAGTACATACTTTGAAAGACGGTAAGTCGAATCAGCTTGGAAATACTTTAGTACGCAGCTGGTTCCACATAGTGCTGGTGCCCTCTGCCTTAAAAAACACGCAGTTGTGGACGAAGGTCCGATGATGAAACTCAGCTGCAGGTGCTCCGAACAACTTCGAACACTCACCATGGTAAATGCGGTAGAAGATGGAGAGAAACCCTACATCTCTACGCAATGCCTAGGCATCAAGCCGCTCGGAAATGGAGAATCTTATGATAACTCTTATCAGTGTTTTAACATTTGCAATGGTATTCTTTTGGTCGCTTATAGTTGCAAATAAGTTAAGGCGAAACAATACATACACATTTGAACATTCTACACATGTGAAGGATATGAATCACCAAATAGTTTAATTTATTTAAATAAATATTGTATTTCCATACATTGTATCGATACATCCTCCCGACACTATTGCACGCGTCTTTGTGTTTCATCTTTTACACCTTAACACCTCTCTTTCTATACACCCGTCCCTTTCTATTAACAGTGCATAAAATCTTTCAAATATCCCGTGCGTATGGCTTAAAAATGCGCTATCACTGCCATGACGTCATTCACAAATCGCGCTATCGAAATATTTTTCGCTGGGGCTATATCTAGATAACATCTTTGGTAAGCTGGCCCACCCCATCTATGTCCTTTCTAGTAGGCAATTTTATTTGCCTTCTGGTAACTATCCCTCCAGTTAAGATAATATGATGGTGATGGTGAAGTTAGTTATTTCGTCTATGTATTTGCGTGATGTTCCCACGAGAATTTAAGTGCGTTCTCCTATTTCACCATGCCTACTGCTGAAAGAGAATACATCTTTGTTTTTAATTTATTTTATTACTAATAATTACTTAAGATGTCATGTGGAACATGGTGTAATGGTTGCAGCTCCATACAAAAATTGTGTAAAACAAAAAACTTGGCGATAGAAAAGAGTGACGGAGAGGTTATTGCCACTTCTTCTCTTCCGTTCTACGCCCTTGAGAACTGGCAGTAAATGTAAAATTAGAAGCATTTAATGTATATTTCTTTTTTGACGTTCATATGTGTACATTGTGTTACCTATATATATAAAATGATTTTGATTGATTGAATGATCTAGAATGGTTAATTGGGAAGGTTTAGGTCGCTACTATATTAAGAGAGATAGTTTTGGACATATGTCCTGTAGAAAATACATCTTTAATAATATTAGTATAGGCCATTGGAAACTGCAAACAAAAAAGTAAATCAATTCCATATTTCAATTTGCTGGGACGGGACAGCTGTCCATACATTCCGTTTAATATTAAAATAATTTTGTACTTCACAAATGCTCAGAGGTCGTGTGGTTTCAGCATACGACCTCAGGGTCGTAGAACTCGCTCGTTGATAAACATAGTAATACCATTAGACCTAATCAGGCATAGATCACCTACTTGCCTCATGAAACATATAAAAGAGGCCCAGACCTAAAAGGTTGTAGTGCTACTGAATTATAATAAGGTAGTTTTTTCCAACTTAGAATCGGTTCATGATCCAATCATTGGGGCAGAGGCCATCAGATCATCTGATGTTATCTGCAGCGGCCCAAGGACACATTGCCAGAAGGCTCGCAAGAGCGTTGCCCTTCCTCTGACTTACAGGTACCTTGACCAGTCCAACCAGTTTCTGGCCCGAAGCTTTTCTTTAATGGGGACTCGCTGTTGGCCTTTAGGGCCTCTACTGCTCAGCTAGGGCTGTTTTGGTGGGCGTAGCTCGGCCGGAATGGGCTCTTTCTCGCGACTAGCACAAGGGCGTCTCCTGCGAGACTGGATTTATCCGTCCGATAGTTGTTACGTTAATGGCGTTCATGGCTGGTGGTATATTTCACATGTAAAGTTTCTTATCTACACGAAATTTCATTAAAAATTTAATCATTGATAAATACTATCAATATAATAAATCTGTTAAAGTATAATAAATCATTTGGTATCGCTTAAATTTATTGTGAACGATAAAGAACTGTCTGTACGGGTCATGTCATTAATTGGATTTGCGAAAAAAAACCACGAAATTATTCATAACATGCCTTAACCCATTTAGGACCCATATATGTGTGTGTGTGGTATTTGACTATTTATTTTGACTATTTTCTTTTTTATTCTTAGACTCTTATGTCATTTTACTGGTATACGTAATCGTATACGTAATACGTAAAATTAAACATTACGCTATGTATTTAAATAGTTAATAACTAGCAACATCTACAATCTAAGGCAACAATCACTGCGATGACGTCACATCTTAAAACGCGCTATCGAAGTATTTCCAGCTGTGTAGTAGTAGTCAGGGTTACTATTGCTGCGCACTGCATCCCCCATCTAGGGCTATAAGACCGCCTCCGTACCGCTGTATCAGCAGGGCGCGCACCTCCACCGAAACTAAAAACTGGGATAGGCGAGGTTCCTTACTTCGTGCTTTACTGATTACTCAGTACTCTCTCCAGTGTGCTTCCGTCCTGCCGTTAATTGTTTAGGCTATTAACCTAAAATAAAAACTTATGTGCAGTTAGAAGTTATACTTCTTTGGCGTAAAAAGATAAAAAGCTTTGCAAAAATTGTATTCTACATTTGTAGAAAAAACGACACTAACAATAGAAAAAACTAAAATGATGACTATAGCTATCTTCAGGGTGTCGGTTTTCTGTAACGGTGTGCGCGCGCATTTTAAAAATTTATTCTCATCATTTTTACCTTGCGCGCCAAAAGTATAGTATCAGTGACCCTAATTATAGGGTCACTAATTTTTGAAGTTATTTTTGTCAATGTTTGATTATTCGTCAATCTAGGTGATCAGCCTCCTGTGCCTGAAAAACGCCGTCGACTTGGTTAAGGCAATCTGGTTTCCTCACGATGTTTTCCTTCATACGAGCGAATGTTAAACGGACACATAGAAAGTCCATTGGTGCACAGTCGGGGTTCGAAGCTCAGGGATGGGAGTCGCACGCTGAAGCCACTAGGCCAACTCTGCTCTTGTTAGCTTGACACTAATAAAAGTCTGGTATCGGCCTACTGTTTTAATGCCCGTTTACTCACGAGGTTTTGCGTACAAGCGAATATAGAAAAGAATTCACAATACTGTATTAGAAATTATATTTCGCTTAAAAAACTTTTAGTAAAAACCTGTACAACCCGTAAATCCGAGATAAGCGCATTTTATTATACATCATACAATTATATATCTTATGATATTGAGATAACGTCGAAATTAGCATGTAAGAATTTCCAATCTAAATTTTGGGCGTGCCTTTAACATTGAAATATCATCTGTGAACACGAATATAGACTTAGAGTCAAAAGATATCCTAACAAAACTTATATCTGTATAAACGCGATTAACTCAAAAAGTGCTGGACGGATTTTCATATGGTGTGCACCAATAGATAGATAGATTCCTGAGGAAGGATTAAGGCTATGTTCAGATGGCAAAAACTTGACGCGCGTTTTCAAATCGCGCGACTAGACATTGTGGTATTTTCATACAACTGTTCACATGAGCGCGCGTTAACGCGCGTCAACGCGGCGCTTAGAGAAAAAGTCTCTAGACGCCGGTGATCGCGCGTTGACGCGCGCTTTGATAATAATGTAATGTCCGTATGCTGTTCAGTTGAGCGCGTGCTTTCATCGCGATCGCATGTAATTTTGTTAATTTTCGTAATTATATTTATAACAAACTGGGTCTATTTTTCAAAATTGGATGAAACCAATGTGTACGTTTTCTTTTTCTATATTTTTCTTTATAATATAACTACAAAATAATAGCCTCTTCCACGTCCATTTTCTACGTTCTACCGAACTAGAGTGACGAGTACTCTCGCAACGCGCATTAGCGCTCATCATCTGAACTCTCTTCAAATTTGATCGTGCGTTGACGCGCGTTAACGCGCTTTACATGTGAACATAGCCTAAGTTTATATATCTTTAAGGTTTTATGTATATTGACTTTAATATAATGAATTGACTGAATTATGATGCAACATATAATGTAATTATACTCTATTGTTAGCGTAGATAAGGAATTTCCTTGACGTTTTTGCCTGGAAGATACCGCTGGCGGGAAACGAACCTGCGGAACGCCCAAAAAGGGCAGTCATCGCATCTTCCCAGATTTCTGGTGGGCGTCCTCTCTATTTCTCCTCAGAAGGAACCCTAGATTTCTTTAAACTAAACAGATTGAGCTTAACATAAATTAAACGGCATTAAAAATAATTCGGCTCTTACATAATTTCCATACATACATAAAACCCGAATCATGTCTGGCGAGTCGACTTAATTGGATACAACACAAACATACATCAAAATGAAATGTAACTTGAACTCCGTGGATCAACAGAGATCTGCTACATCTGAAAGCCAGCACAGGAAAGGGAGTGCTGGAGGGTGTTTGTTTCGTAGACAAATTGTAGTAGATACAATTCTCGTGTAATAATAAAAATAATTAAAGAAGAAAGAAGCAAATCAAAACAAATTTAAAAAGTTTGGTCCCTGTGGCAGTGTACCTTTAACGCTGGCAGCATTTCCTCGCTGTATTGCGAGACTTATTCTTTGAGCCAGGAAAGTGCCAGCTCTGTGGTGCCAGGCGCCAACTTAAATCTTTAATAAGCGCCTGTGCACTTGAACCCCACGGCCTAAGAGTCTCTACTCCAAAGGGAACAAAATTGAAGTTGGAGGAAAGACTCTTATATTCTCGTGTTGTAATCAATCCCCTCCGAATTGGCTTGATCAATTTTTCTGGTTTTTTTTGTAACACAAGGGTGTTGT